TCAATTGCTTGTAACACTGCTTATAAATTCCATATCAGAGTGCTGTTTCCAGTCCCAGATGCTCTTGTCCAATGCAGCTTCCTAGTAATTTGCTCAGCAAGGCAGCAGATGATGGACCAGTTGTTTAAAGTGGATACCTACCACACATGTCTGGCTTAGTTCTGGCCCGCTTTTGTAGACATTTGAAGACTACATCAATGGATGGAGATATTCTCTCTTTCTGTGTTGTTCTGTCTTTTAAAAAATAAATAAGTAGATAAATAGTCTGTCTTAGTAACATTTTCAGTATTTATACCAAAATTGATCATTACTTGTTCTTTTCTTTATGCTATAAAGCTTTGATTTTAATGAAATATAGATTTTGAAAATATTCAATTGTACAAACTATTCAGACAAAAAGCATATTTCTTAATTGAATTAGCACAAAATTCTTTATTAGTTCTCAGTGTTAGTATATAAAGCTTTGATTTTAATGAAATATAGATTTTGAAAATATTCAGTTGTACAAACTATTCAGACAAAAAGCATATCTCTTAATTGAATTAGCACAAAATTCTTTATTAGTTCTCAGTGTTAGTAATAGCATAACAAAGTGATACTGTTCGAAACACCAAATATAATCGGAATCTAACTTATATTCATCATCAGATGTTTGAGAGAATGGTTTCTGTGTATGATCCTCATATGTATTGAGAAACACTACATTGATACCCCTCATCCTAGATGGTTCTAAAAATTACTTAAAAGATATAAATTTAGGAATTGACTATTTTGTTTCCTTCTTTGTTTAAAGTCAGCTGCTGTTGAGGAAGGTCTTCAACTAATGAAACCTATGAATAAGAATGTACAGGAGGCACACTGGAGTCAGATTCTGACACGGTCATGAGCTACTACTGGTTCTGTTTAATTTAGTGTATGTATAATCTTTAAAATATATGTAAGGGGCCCCACGCTGTAGTCTAGTAGCTAAAGTCCTCATATTGCATGTGCTGGGATCCCATATGGGTGCTGGTTCTACTCCTGGCAGCCCTGCTTCCCATTCAGCAACTTGCTTGTGGCCTGGGAAAGCAGTAGAGGATGGCCCAAAGCCTTGGAATGCTACACACATGTGAGAGACCAGGAAGAAGCTCTTTGCTCCTGGCTTCAGATTCTCCGGCTGTTGAGGCTACTTGGGGAGTGAATCATAGGACGGGAGATCTTCCTCTCTGCCTCTCCTCTCTATATATCTGCCGTTCCAGTAAAAATAAATTTTAAAAGAACTTTTAAAAGATTAAAAAATAAAAATCACAAATATAGAAAGAAGAAGCTTAAATATGTAAAAACAGAAAAAGACCAGATGAATTGTAATATATTCCCCAAAAGAGTACTGTGGAACATCTGAAGGATTAAATGTCTATATCCATTACAATGAAAGATGCTCATATTCCCAGTCCCTTTTTAAAGTTTTTTTTTAATTTTACTTTTTAAATTCATGTACCCTGAGTAGATTTCTTATTTTTCATGATATAGATTTAGAAGCAGAGAGGTCCCTTCTTCTCCTCCCACTACATATTATTATTATTATTATTATTATTATTAATCATCCCCTTATCCTCTTATTATTTATCCCCAAGTTGTTACATTAGCATAGTCATTTATTTCATTGTTACATACTTAACCTTTTACATAAATGTGTTGTAACATGTCAAGTATAGGAAAAGGAAGAAAATGAAGTTATGTAATATAAAAGTATAATCAAAAATGAAACTGGGAATTCTATTGTTACTCTGAATTACAGACCCCATGTTGTATACATCTCCATTATTTTCCAATATGTTAATCTCCCTCATGGAGTTTAATACTTTTTGTGTCTGTGTGTTGGTCATCATGTATCAGAGCAATTATGATGTTTTTATTTTTGTGACTGGCTTTTTCCTACTATGCATTATGACTTTCAGCTGATTTTGCTTTGTTGCAAATGGTAAGATTACATTCTTTTTCAGGGCTCATTTGTATGTCATGTAGTAAACATATCATGTATTCTTTCTCTTATTTATTTTTGTTAAAGATTTTATTTTTTTTTTTTGTATTGGGAAGCCATATCTTTGATCTGCTGATTCACTCCACAAATTGCCATAACGGCCAAAGCTGAACCAATTCCAATCTGAAGCCAGGAGCTTCTTTCAATCTCCCACACAGTTATCGGATGCCAAGGCTTTGGGCCATCCTTGATTCCTTTCCCATGTCACAAGCAGGGAGTTGGATGAAAAGTAGAACAGCTGAGACACAAACTGGTGCCCACATGGAATCCTGGCACTTGCAAGCTGAGGACTTAGCCATTGAGTAATTGAGTCCGATGTACCACATTTTCTTTATCCATTCACCTTGTTGATTGGCATCTGGGCTTGTTCCATGTCATAGCTTTTGTTGATTGTACTGATACAAACATGATGTTGCAGGTAACTCTATCACACACACATTACATTTCATTTGGATACATTCCCAGGAGTAGGATGGCTGGGTCATAAAATAAATCTATATTGATCTGTCTGAAAAGAATTTTTAAATTGATTTCCAAGGTCTCTGCACTAATTTACATTCCCACAACCAGTAGATTAGGGTATCTTCTTCCCTACATTCTCACCTGCAGTGATTGTTTGTCGATTAATGTCTGTTGGCCATTCTTTCTGAGGTTAGTTAGAACCTCATCATGGTTTTTATTTGCATTTTCCTGATAGCCAGAGAACCTTAGCATATTTTTTATGTGTCTCTTGGCCCTTTCAATTTTCATCTTTTAAAAAATAATTGTTTCTGTCCTTTATCCATTTGTTAACTGGATTGTTTGGTGTTGTTGCATTTCTAGAATTCTTTGTAAATTCTGGGTTTTGTCCTGTATCTGTTGTGTAGTTGGGGAATATTTTCTTCCTTTCTTTTGGCTGCCTCTTCACTTTCCTGGCCATTTCTCTTGCAGTACATAAGCTTCTTAGCTTAATATAATCACATTTGTTTATTTTTTCCTTAATATTTATCTGTGCTTTTGGGGTCTTTTCTAAGAATATTTGCCTATGCCCATGTCTTGTAGAGTGCTATGCTATTTTCCTCTGGTAATTTTTGGTGTCAGGTCATAGGTTTAGGTTCTTGATCCATTTAGAGTTGAAATTTGTATAAGGTATGAGGTAAGAGTCTTATTTCTTACTTATTCAAACATATATCTGGTTTTCTGATCACCATTTGTTGAAAAGACTGTTCTTTCTCCTTGAGTTGGTTTCAGTTCACTTGTCAAAAATTAATTGGCTAGAAATGTGTGGTTTTCTTTCTGAATTTTTCTATTCTGTTCCATTTTGCATTTTGGGTTTCACTTGCTTTTTTTTTTTTTTTTTTTGTAAATCCTTCATATGCATCGATAGCTCATTTGTTGATGTCTTTGTGATTCCTCAATATAAGCATGAATTACAATGAACTTCCCTCTTAGCACTGCTTTTGCTGTATTCCCTAAGTTTTGATATGTCGCATTGAAATCTTAATTTGTTGCAGGAATTTTTACAATTTTCCTTTTAATTTCCTTTCAGACCACTGTACAATGAAAGATACTCACATTCGTAACATTGAACACCTAATGCAGGTTACTGAAGAACATTCCATTTGACATTATAGAAAGTTTCAAAATGTGTAGAATAATGTCTAATGTTATTTCTGGTTGTGTCCATGTCGTAATAATAGTTGTAAAATATAAAGGGATACCCTCATACCCTTAATGTCCATCTCTGAGAAAAGAGGAACATGATGAAGCGTGTCACATGGGGCCCTAAAGCTGTTTACAAGGTTGAGAGGATAGCTAGATGTTCACTCCATTTGTCTTTCCATAGGACTGAGATATTCCACCCTGCAAAACGGATGTATTCACTGGCTGACTTGAGTACATAGGCTTAAAAAATATGTATTTCTAATGGTGTCAGAATAGATGATAAGCAATATAGAAATAAAAGTAATATATATCTAGATAAAAGTGTAACACGTAACTTAGACTGGGGCTAAAATTTAATTTTGTAACTTTAGAGGATTTTAAATACTTCTAAGGAAATAGTAAAATAAAATATTAATTTAAAACTGATGTTTTGAAAATTAGCTGAGGGTTTATATTAATCTCAGCATCTTTAAATAAAAGTAAATGAATTCTTTTACTTATATTTTTAAGTTGCCTTCTTAAGTCATTCTTTTCATTTTATGCATGTCAAACACAAAGCAGCAAACACTGCTTTCTAAATAAAATGGATTATTGTTTACAGTTACTTTTTAAGAATTAAGTTTACATTAAAAACCTTTGTAAACATTTTTCTCTGTGGAATGTTTTTCTCATTTTTTTCATTCATTTTATTTAAGGTTGTTAATATTGTGCTCTTCTCTAAGTAGCTGCGTTTTGTGAATGTTAGCTTAGAGTGTGACTGCTATGACCAAGGTGAAACAGCTGATATTGGAGATGATTTTCATGAGGCGCTCAAATTCCAAGATTATTTAAATGGGAGGATGTCAAGACAAGACAGAGGAGTCTGGAGAAATTCTTTACTATTAAAAAATTTATTGATATAAAGAGGAAATATTTTATGTATTCTATATGTACAATTTTAAGCACATGATACCTGCCTTCCTTCCTTTCTCTCTTTAATTTTCTTAATTTTTATAATAATGTATTTTCAATTTACTTTATAATCACTGACTTAATCCTCAAACTGATAAAGAATTCCACAGGTAAAATGCAGAAAAATCATCTTTCCCCAGGAGTACAGACAAGGGATTTAATTAATAAGTGGACATCAAAATGTCAGTTTCAGTCCTACACATTACTGCTTTTTTAACTCTATATGTTGCCTACCATAAACCAGGGAAAGAATATGATATTTGTCTTTTTAGGCCTTGTTACTTGTGCTGAGCATATTTGATTGAAAAATACTCCCAAGTGGTTTTTATTTTGTTGGAATTTCATTTTAATCCACTAATGTTGTGGTATTTACTCTTTATTTCAGGGCAAGGTGGCTCAGACAGCATGTATGTCAGCTTGCAAGCATTTAGCCACATCCTTGATGCAGCTTTTGCTGGAAGCCGAAGTCAGGCAGCTCACCTTGGGAGCATTACAGCAGTTCAACTTGGATGTCAGAGAATGCGAACGTAAGGCAGTGAATGCATTTCTTGTTTTTTGTTTGGTTGTTTTTTTTTTTTCTTTTTGGTCTTACCTCTATACTGAACTACTTTGAAAAAAGAAATAGTTTAAGGTCTTAAGGTTCTTATTCTGATGGAGACAAAGGACACCTAGATGACAGAGATAACTTACATGACATTTAAAAATAGAGGCTGTCAGTAAGCTAATTTGAGGACCTAATAGTGCTTACACCCGAATTTAGAACAGAGAGACCTCTGGCCACAAAGAAGTTTGCAATCAGAGAGGATGTAAGGCAGACATGCATTTAATGGACATCAAAGTAAAGCTGATTAATCCAAAGATGTCAAGAAAATGCAGTTGTCATCCGCTTCTTTTTAAAAATCTTTTTTAAGACAAGCTATATATTATCTGCAAACTCTCCTTGGTTTAAGAACAAGTGGTGTGTGCAATTCTCAGTGTTGTTTTCTATCATGGGAAACAGAAATATCTAGTTGAAGTGCTTTACACAGATAAACTTTATTTTTCTCAGAGGCAGTTAGTTCCTGCATTGCCTTGGTTACCCGGTGATGTCATTATGGGCTCACCGCCTTTTGTTTCTTTTCTTCGGCTGCATGTGCACTTTTCCTCCTCATAAATTGTAGTCGTATAAGATTCACATTTAAGACGAGAAAGAGGGCTGCCTTGCTTATTCCATTCATTAAGAAAATTAAAACTTTTCCAGTGATCCCTAGCTTGCTTCCTTATCTGTCTCATTGATCACATGCCAGATAGTCACTTCTATTCTAAGAAAGGCTGTGAGATTTAGTATCCTGTAAACTGAAAGAAACAAACAAAATTACTGTCCTAGCTGCTTCATTATAAATGATCAGTTTAAGTCTAAACACAAATTAAGCTGTTTATGAAGAAATGCTGTGCTGCTCGCCATGCTCTCAGTGACAACTAAAATGAGCAAAAACTGATAAAAGTCCTGGAATATTTTTAAATTCCAGTAAAATTAAAATAGAAATTTCATAATTCTTGCAACAGTGTTTCCCCATTTTTATAATTCATTAGTTATATGTTTTCCCCATAATACTTGTACAAATTTGTATGTAGCACCATATAATATTTCAACACATGTATGCTGCATAAATTGACTAGACAATTTGTGTTTCAGTTCTGATTCTGTATATGTGTGAAGCCTACCAATGCTTCTCTTAGGGTTCTCCTTGCAGGATACACTATATTGTGAACCATTGTCACCCCCCAGTGTGCTGTCAACCTCTCTCAACCTTTCCCATCCTCTTATAACCACTGTTTTAAGTTCTGGACTGCTTTGTAAAATTCCAGCATATGAAGAGAGAGTATATAATGTTTGTTTTTTCTGTGTATGTTTTATTTCAATTAGCATAATGATTCCCAGTTCCATAAATATTTCAACAAATGGCAGGATGATGTTCATTTTTCTAACTAAATAATACCTTATTGTGTATATATAGCACATTTTCTTTATTCACCCACTGATGGACACCATAGCTTGATTCCTTATCTTCCTTACTGTGATAGCGCTGCAGTAAATAAGGAAATGCAGGTATATTTTTCATTTGTTAATTTCATTTAGGTATATAACCAGAAATGGGATAGCTAGGTCATAGAGTAGACCTGTTTTCAGTTTCTTAAGGAATCTCCATACTGCTTTCTTTAATGACTGTTGTAATTTGCTTTCATACTGACAGTGGGTCAGGGTTCTCTATTGTCCACATCCTCAGAAACATTTATTATGTTTTGTCTTTTTTTAAAAGATTAATCATTTTTATTGCAAAGTCAGATATATAGAGAGAGGAGGAGAGACAGAAAGGAGGATCTTCCATCCGATGATTCACTCCCCAAGTGATCCCAAAGGCCAGAGCTGAGCTGATCAGGAGCCGGGAGCTCTTCCGGGTCTCCCACATGGGTGCAGGATCCCAAGGCTTTGGGCCATCTTTGACTGCTTTCCCAGACCACAAACAGGGTACTGAATGAGAAGTAGAACAGTGGGGATGGAAAGCAGGGCCTGCCAGGATTAGAACCAGAAACCATATGGGATTCTGGCATGTGCAAGGCGAGGATTTTAACCACTATGCTATCGGGCTGGGTCCAGAAGGTATCTGTTTAATCACTTTTCCTTTCTTTTTTTCTTAGTAAGAAATTTTAGAAGGCTTATCTTCTGTGTATAAAAATGTGCTTTCAGATCCAGTCTGATAGCCTAGTGCCTGAAGTCCTTGCCTTGCATGTGCCAGGATCCCATATAGGAGCTGGTTCATTTCCCCGTGGCCCCGCTTCCCATCCAGCTCCCTGCTTGTGGCCTGGGAAAGCAGTTGAGAATGGCCCAAAGCCTTGGGACCCTGCACCCACATGGGAGGCTTGGAAGAGGCTCCTAGCTCCTGGCTCTGGGTTGGCTCAGCTCTGGCCATGGTGACCACTTGGCGGGTGAGCCAGTGAATAGAAGATCTTTCTTCCTGTCTCTCCTCTTCTCTGAATATATGACTTCGCAAAAAAAAAAAAAACTATTAAAAGAAGAGTAGTTGTGTTTTCTATTTGTTCTTGCCATTTGTTGCATTAACTGTATTTTTTATTTGACTTTTTTATTTTGAATATGTATATTTGATCCTTTTTTGAAGAGCTGTATCTCTTTTCTGAATTTTCATTCATGTAATGCATTGTGTTCCTCATTTTATTAGGTTATCTGTATTAATATGTAAGTCAGTAAACATCCATACTCATCGATTGCCTCATTGCTCAGATGGTCATTATAGCTCTTGCAGTTCTTGTCAAAGAAAGGAGTCTGGAGCTTCAACCAGGTCTCCCTAATGAATGGCAGGGGCTGAAGCACCCGGGCCACCTGCTACTGGCTTTCCAGGCATATTAACGTGGAGTTAAATCAGAAGCAGAGTAGTCAGTACTCAAACCCTGATAAGGGATGCCAGCACTGTAGCCAGTTGCTTAATTCACTGTACTACAATGCTAGTCCCAACTCCTTCCTTTTAAAAAGGGGGGGGGGGAATGGATCTGAGATAGGCAAGCAATAAAGATCATTGATTAAGTAATCAGCCTGTTGAATGATTGGTAATGACTATTACTGCGTTTTTGACAAAGAACTAAGAGAAATAGGGAATGGGAAATAAAACTGGAATACAGGCACCTTGAGGAGGAGTGTTTTTTGGAAGTGTATGAAAAGTAGAATAAAGGTCGGAATTATGGCCTGATTCCAAAATTCATTTAGTTAGATGGAAGAATAGTTTCTGCCTGGGAGGTTTATGGGGAAATCAGCCTACGTAGTGGTCAGCCAGCTCTCAGTTGAGACAAAGAGATGGAGAGATCACTTAGTAAAAAAGTGGCAGCATAATACTATATTAATTATATGCTAAGCATAATAATATGTTGATCATATAAAAGGGATTCCAGAAAGCTAATATGTTCAGTAAAAATAACATTCAGCTTTTATACTGGCCTTTCAGATTTAAGATCAATTTGAAGCTAACATTTGAAGATGACTTTACCACTAACAACAATATCAGCTTTGGAAAAAACAATTTCTCTATATTGTAGAAACACCAAAGTTCATTGACTTAGAAGTTAATTTTTCTTTTCTGATTAGCAATAATTTGTCTGTCAAGAAACTTTCCATGGGCATTTATTTTATTTTAGAAGAAAGAGCTCTATTCTATGTCTTTTCCTATACCACCCCCCTCATTTTTTTTCTTTAGATGCTCAATGATCTATAAAAGAAATCTTTAAGAAATGATACATGAAATTCAAGTAACTGTACAGAGGCGTATAAAAGCAGCCCCCAATGACAAGATAATTAACACTTACATTGTTCTATCCAGTGGTGTATGTATGTGTGTATGTGTGTGTCTCCGTGTGTGAGATATTTGCCTTCTTTTTTTTCCTGTGAGTCCTCGGAAGAATTATATAAGTCATGAAGGAAGTAACATTCTGGACAAGATAGTCAATGTATCTTATATGCTTGACTCCATGACCTGGACTCTCATTTTCTTAGATACAAAATGTATACAATTACCCACACTACCACCCACCTGGGTATTCAGCATGTGTAGTGCAGTCATTAATGACATGGGGAAAAATTAGTGGGGAGGTGGAAACCTGGGGAGGGGGCAAGGGAAATCCTGGAGCCTATGGAACTATGTCATGGAATGTTAGAGAACTTGACATAGTAAATTCAAATAATTGCTTACCTTAGTTTGGCTCATGGGTAAATTATTCAACCCTTAACAGCCCAATGATTAAATAATAATATTATCTTAAAGAGTTAAGGTCAGGAATAACTGAAAGAATTCATATAAGGGTTTATTCATGCACTATTGAAGCATTCAAAATGCAGATATTGGTAGCTACTCCTATACCATTAATAGCAGTAGTAGCAGCTGTCAGCACATATCCAGCAATTCTCAGGTTTTTGCAAACCGCCTGGACCTGTTCTGCAATTTGTAAACCTGAAGATTTGCAAAGTCCTTTAGTTTGGTATAAAAATTAACTTTCACTTCTTGATAGTTGTCTGTGAAACTTTCACGGTTATCCTGAAAGGTATAATTGAGAACTGATGATTTTCTAATTTCAGCCTGATGCTTTTGTAAGACATCAGTCAGTTAACTTATGTTTTATAGAGATGGTGACTACAGCTTAGGGTGCCATTATCTGACAAGAGTGTTGTTGTTAGGTAATTCTTTTTGACAGGCTACCAAACCCATGTACCTTTGGTGGGAGTAATTTAAGAAAATTTCCCCCTTGCTTTAAAAACTGACACTGACTCGTGCTTTGTGTGGACTTCGTCTTAACGTTCCCATAGGCTTGTTTTGCAGCTGTTTGGCTACTAGAATGTTTTGTCAGAAAAACTGAGTTTTAAACACTAGCAAATTTTGATTTTACTATTTACTTCCTTGATCAAACTCAGACTGCTGTATCTTTCCTGTACTGGGATGTTCAATCTGCGTTTGACTTGCAATTTTTTAAGCTTTCTTTTTGTGTA